AGTTATTTTAAATTGTAATAATATTTCATAATATTACTGTTTTTACCATATTTTTAATCCAATAATTACAGCCTTGGTAAGCATAAGACGCCTAAACATAGTTGCCTACTTCAGACTTTTAAATGGTAATGTATATTTAAACTAATAAATGCTGATACTCTCTTTGTTATTATCATAATTTCATGGTACTTTGTGACTGGAAGTTGAAAATGAATCTGCTCACATGGAAGTTCACAAATGACTCTGAAATGTTTGATTCAAGGCTCTGCTCTCTGTAGCACACGTGAAACAACTCGCCTGTGTCTCTGTTCTTGGCACGGGGGCTACTTTGAGGAGTGGAGTTTGACCTCTGGGTCACTTGGGACAGCATGTCTGAGCGTGTGCTTTCAGGACACGTATGCCTTCTGTTGTGTCTGCAGCTTCTCCATGCAACCACTTCAACAAATTCTCTTACGTTGGATGTGTTAAATCAATACGAAATGCCTTTATACTACAGCACACAAAAACACAAAGAAAAGGTGTGTAGTCATAACATTTTAGCTGATTTAAAAGATACAAAGCTGATTTAAAAGATACCCCCCCCCCCACACACACACACAGAGTCAAAGACATTTAAGAGCACAGATGGTTAATAGCTATCTTGTTTAACATGAATAGCTACAAGCTTCTCGTTCTCCTCCTGTGCCTTCTTCTCCTGAGAAAGATGATGTAATGTAACAGTCTAGACACTGGACAGCTGCTAGCTCCTTATGCAAGCTCATTAAAGTAAGGTTATGGGATCTTTGCTGAAATCCATTCATTAATTAGACCTACTACAACCTAGCTTTATAAATTAATTTAAACAAAGATTATTTTATCTTTATAGGATCTTTATTTAATTGCAGTTTAATTATATTGATTTAAGTACACAAAGATTTAAGTTTTCCAGTTAAATGCACTATTCAAAAAGAATGATCTTTCTGAGTGCGTGTTGACACACTATTTATTATCAGATTTGAATTATTACTTAGGTCAGTTTCTGTTTTCAGCGGATATTTGCTCCAGTTTGTTCCTCCCTTAAATTGTGTAAGGATCTCTCTCTCTCTCCAAACTTTCCGTCACGCTCTCTCTTCTCTCCGGGAATGTGTTTCCTGTGGTCCGCTGGCTGATTGGTCCGCTGCCTTCCGGGGAGACGCGGATTGGAAGCCTGCGCTCGACATCTGGAAGGGAGGAGAGTAGTGATGGGAAGTCCGATTCATTTCTGCGAATCGGTTCTTTCGAACAGTTTGTTTGTCAATGAGCCGTTTGAAAATGAATCGGCGGTTCTTTTACGTCATCGCCTTGTACCTGACATCTCGCCTCGGCATGGCATGTGTGCTATAAAGCCATATGTGGGAATATATTGCTTCCAGTAAACTATAAAACTGCAAAGTTTAATGACAGCATGTTATCCAAACTACTCCTTCTTTGAAACTTCTGTATTAGCCATAAATTTGTGTTTTTGAGGTGACTCTTTGAAAACAGACCATTTTCATATGACGTTTATCATTATTTTATTACCTTTTCCTTGCATATATTGTCTTTTTTATTAACAAGGATGTTTATTGTAATTCATGTACCACAGTTAAATTTGTTGCAGTCATTTACCACCTCATAAAAACATAAATTTAGAGCATAAACTACATAAAATTACCATTAACATTAAACAACAGAAATATTAATTTTCATCACTCCTCTGGAAAGGTTTTTGGATGTTTCAATTGAAATATTCACTCCCTGGTTTCACACACACACACACACAGAGTCAAAGACATTTAAGAGCACAGATGGTTAATGGCTATCTTGTTTAACATTAATAGCTACAAGCTTCTCGTTCTCCTCCTGTGCCTTCTTCTCCTGAGAAAGATGATGTAATGTAACAGTCTAGACACTGGACAGCTGCTAGCTCCTTATGCAAACTCATTAAAGTAAGGTTATGGGATCTTTGCTGAAATCCATTCATTAATTAGACCTACTACAACCTAGCTTTATAAATTAATTTAAACAAAGATTCTTTTATCTTTATAGGATCTTTGTTTAATTGCAGTTTAATTATATTGATTTAAATACACAAAGATTTAAGTTTTCCAGTTAAATGCACTATTCAAAAAGAATGATCTTTCTGAGTGCGTGTTGACACACTATTTATTATCAGATTTGAATTATTACTTAGGTCAGTTTCTGTTTTCAGCGGATATTTGCTCCAGTTTGTTCCTCCCTTAAATTGTGTAAGGATTTTTCTCTCTCTCTCCAAACTTTCCGTCACGCTCTCTCTTCTCTCCGGGAATGTGTTTCCTGTGGTCCGCTGGCTGATTGGTCCGCTGCCTTCCGGGGAGACGCGGATTGGAAGCCTGCGCTCGACATCTGGAAGGGAGGAGAGTAGTGATGGGAAGTCCGATTCATTTCTGCGAATCGGTTCTTTCGAACAGTTTGTTTGTCAATGAGCCGTTTGAAAATGAATCGGCGGTTCTTTTACGTCATCGCCTTGTACCTGACATCTCGCCTCGGCATGGCATGTGTGCTATAAAGCCATATGTGGGAATATATTGCTTCCAGTAAACTATAAAACTGCAAAGTTTAATGACAGCATTTTATCCAAACTACTCCTTCTTTGAAACTTCTGTATTAGCCATAAATTTGTGTTTTTGTGGTGACTCTTTGAAAACAGACCATTTTCATATGACGTTTATCATTGTTTTATTACCTTTTCCTTGCATTTATTGTCTTTTTTATTAACAAGGATGTTTATTGTAATTCATGTACCACAGTTAAATTTGTTGCAGTCATTTACCACCTCATAAAAACATAAATTTAGAGCATAAACTACATAAAATTACCATTAACATTAAACAACAGAAATATTAATTTTCATCACTCCTCTGGAAAGGTTTTTGGATGTTTCAATTGAAATATTCACTCCCTGGTTTTCGGCTTTTTACGAATCGTGCATTTCCAACTGAGAAGGTTCTCGGTTCAATGAATCAGTAGTGATTTGTTGACTCAACAACCGCACGGACCGATTTTTCGTGAACGAATCATTCAGAAAGTTTTATTTTTTATTTAATTTTATTTTTGTATTAAACAATACAAACATTAAAACATTAAGGCAGTACAATTATCAAAATCATAAGACTAAGACTTATATTTCCTAAGAAAGACTTTAATTGGGTAACATTTGTGAATCAACTTAAATGTTATTTATTTTACTTTATTGGTAAGCAGATATCATCATTCAGAAAGGTCTTGCGAATCGGTCCGACCAATTCATTAAAAAGATCCGACTCAAATGAACGACTCGTTCGCGAATCGGACATCGCTAGAGGAGAATAGACGAGAGAGGTAAACCAGAAAAAAAGGAGGAGAACGGGAGTGGGTGCTGACATCTGAGGTGAGTGATGTGCTTTGCCAAAATATTTAACCCTGACATACGAGCAGCTGGATTTATGATTTGAGAACATTTAATTCTTGCCGTTTGACACTTTTGTTGGTAATGAGTTTGAAAGGTTGGAAATATGAAGTTGTGGACGTGCTCCGCTTTAACAGCGATAGCAGAAGGCGGATAGACCCCTCGGTAGATTGGCTTCTGACTAACTGTTTCGATTATTATTTAGTCCGAGCGAACGCTCGGGATTTGCTACAGTAACAAACACGTTATCGCTTGATACATTGTAACGATTTTGCCGCGTATTTGGTGCTGTTATATCCTGTTCGTTCTATTTGCGATGGAATGGTAGCCTATAAACGGGGGTCGTGCGTGTGGTCGCAGCCCTCCTTCTGAATTTCGCTTCACTTAACCGGTCACTTTGCGCTTCGCTGTTGATCCTTCGCTTTTACAATTAATGTTACTTAAACATTAGGATGTTTGCTATTTAATTAGTGCCATTTGGGACGTCTGTTTCGCCACGGTTGTTTTTACGCGCCTCGCCTCGCCTCTCCCGTCTCATGTCTACGGCAGGCTCCGGCCCCCTGTTCGAGGCCAGGCGAATGGAGAAGTCAAAGCAGCGGGAATCGAAAGTCTGTCATACAGGGCTGAGGCAAACGCGCTTGGTTGTTTAAGCTAAAGCACCAACATGTGTGTCTGTGTGAATCATTAGTGTGAGGCTGAGCGCGCCCGTAGGCCTGAATGTGCGCACCCGCTGCTGTAGGAGCGCGTCGCAGCGACGAGACTCTCGTTCTGTTACATGACGCTCGTTCTGCGGCAGGCACAGGCAGCTCCAAGAGCAGACATGTTCTCTATAAGACCATTTCACATTCACCGGACCTTCCAGCCGTGTACAGAACTACAATAGCCAATTATACTGTACACCAGCACGAAATCTTTGACCGTAAGGCGTTTGCGATGTCTAGCTGTCTTAAAATTCATGGGTCGAAATGTAGAAAGCATATGCAACATTGAGAGCAGCTCTGCGAATTGTTGTTACTTCAAAGCTGATTACTGCATTTCTGGAAAGCAGTGTTGTTTCCAGATGAAATGGCAGTGGTGCATGGATGTCAGTATTCGGCCTGTTTATTTATGATCTTGTAAGTGTGTTTGTAAACTATAAGCGGTCATTTCCACTGAGTTGCATCCCTGGGCCTTCCACAAGAGATGTGGGGTGTGAGTGTTTCATGGGTTTGTCTGTTTATAAGCTCTAGCATGGGGCATGAATATAAATATTATTAACAATTTGATATAGAAATGTATAAAAATGAATACTAATAATATATTAATATTAATTATGTATATACAGAGGCAGTAAGGCCCCAGTGAAAATGTTGTATCTTTCTAATTTAAAGGGATAGTTCACCCAAAAAAGACAATTCTCTCATTATTTACTTGTTCCAAATCTATACAACATTTTTTTTAATCTTTGGACTATTCCTTCCTAATTTGTTGTCCATTGAAAATCTATGTAATCATTTTCAAGTTTCAGAAAGTACACAAAGACATTATAACAGTCATAAAATATGATTGAGCAGTTTAATCCAACTCTTCTGAAGAGATAACATCATGTTAAATGATGACGTTTTTAGTTTAGGTTTTTATTCACATATAAACATTGATGAAAGCATATTTTGAGGGTCATTCAAAAGTCATTCAGATTCATATGTTAATGTAACAAAACAAAAACAAAACTGCTAGTGGTCTGCCATGAAAAACTCAAAAGAAAATACTTGGACTTTCAGAGTTAACTTATTAAACTAAGATATTAATTACATATGTTAAATGCAGTAATTCTTGAAATATATTAAATTCTTTAAACATATTGTCAAAAATCTTGAGATTAATAATAAACATTAAAAGGTATTTAATTGTTTTTAATAAAATCAAAATATAGAAAAACATGTTAAAAATCTATACATATCTCTAATACTGGGTAGAAAAAATACACACTGTCATCTTAATACAAGGTATTAAGAAGTATTCTCCAGATCATATTTTAATCATATTCTTTGACTTCAGTACCATAACAACATTAAAGCCGGTTGTTTAATTTTGGAAACGGCATGTTGTCTTAATATCACACTTAATATATGAAAATCCCTAAATCCCTGATTTAGCCTACATGATAAACAGAATGATTTATTCCAAATGGAAGCAGGGATATTTGACATTTTGTGCTAATGAGTTTACATGATCAGTGTCACAAATTGTAATTTTTATATTAATGAATGTCCTATTAATAGTGCATGATCTTTCATTGTTTCCAGGTTTAAATAAAAAATCCAAGATGTTAAATAAATATGGTCTCAGACTTTTGGACCCCACAGTAGTTGTCCCATATAAAGCTATTAAAGAATATACAATTTGCTACTTTGTACCATCATCTAAGTTGCAGTATGCATAATAAAGGAAATCTTAGTGTAATCCTCTGACTTTTGCGGTGGCTCTTGTCCCCATTTCTCTTCTTCTTGATCTCTTAAACTTGACTTTATCCCTTCACTCCTTGTCTTTTTGTTGTGCAACAGCAGCTCAGTTCAGCCTGGTCTAGTGAAAATTGTATCCTTGTTAAGGATTCAGATTTCCTTGTGCTCTGGTTGGCATAAGGTCGCTGCTTCGGGAACGAGAGCCTTCTGGAATGTTTTGCTGAGGGCTGTTGTGGTCATAAAGTCTTATTTCCAGAGCCTGTGCTCGTCAGGATTTGTTGTATGATGCAATGTTTGTTATAACATTCATAATGGGTTATATTTTGGTGAACTCTTGCTACAATGCTAGGCCATATTATATGGATTCTCAGTGCACACATTGCCAGCTTATGCAGAAATGTGATTTTGTTTGGGTGTAAATGTGCTTGTTGTCACAGGATGTTTAGACTGGTGGTGGTCAGACATTATTGTGACGTATATATTTAGGGCATATGGTGGCTACCAAATTTGACTTTCATAAACTAACATTTTTGGTATGTGACATAGCCTGAAATTGTCATATAACAGTCAAGACAGAAGACTCCCCTAAGGTTGGTAATAGCAGTATGACCCATTTTACAATTTGGCTGTCGACTATTTAACATTTCACTCATTTCGAATGATTTTCTGTTGGCACAGATGCTGTAGATAGAGCTTAGTTTGTGTTAAACCCAGAGCATTCCTTCATATAATGCAGCAGCTGCTGTCATGTTCATACTGTTCGGCCTGAACATCTCTGTTTTTCTGATGAGACACATTGCAGTATGGAATGGACATTCACCTTTCCTTTTGATTTGCATGGCAACAATAAGGATTTTATTTGCCCTGCCAGTATTTTCACTTGCATCACCACAAAAATGATTAGTTTTGTCTTTAGAAATGTATAGGCTATTTTAATATGTGCCAGGACGGTAGTTTTACTGTAAGCATTGAGCTTCAGCCTGTCGAAGTGTTTATTTAGGATTACATTATTATAGGAACTGGATGAAGGTTACAAACATACATTTTTATAGTTTGAAGGCTATTTTTTGTTTGTTTGGCTAAAGTAGCCACAGGCTACTTTGAAACAACTTAATTTTGTTCAAATTAATTATTTCCACTTGCCCCACCACAAAAAAAGATCAATTTTATTTTTAGAAATGTATTTTTATGTGTGCCATTTTTTTCTTTATTAAAAAAGGGTTTAATTAGCTTGTTTTGATTACATGAATTGTGGAAATTACACAGCTGTTAACTCTATTAAAAAAAAAATATATATATATATATTTTTTCTCTATTAAAAACAAACTTTGTACACATTTTATGTAGAATTGTTCAATTTATGTTGTTTTCAACTAATTCTAATTGATGCTTTCAAGACGTTCTAACAATTCAATTTTGACAAAACCTCATCTTTGTTACCCAGCTGCCTAGGTTTAAATATGCAGAATTACAACCGCATTCAATTTAGTACAGAAAATGTTTACGTCTACGAGGCCTAAAAACACAAGAACAACGACTGTAAGCTGTAGTGACATTGCGGCACAGTTCTATTAATTTGCCCAAGACTCTCTCACACTGGCCCCGAACCAGCAGGCCATCCTTATTGTTGAGCTTTGGAATGTATGAGACTGATGTTTTCTTATACTGTGTTTGAAAAAAAACATGAAAGAATAAATTCTATAAGCTTGAAATATATTAGATATTTTGTAAATTGTAAATATCAGACGAGACAATATTCTACATCTCACCCATTTTATATACTTTTATTCCACACTCTTTCTTATTCCATTGCTCTCTTTCACTCTCTCTCTTTCACAGACACACACATCTCAGAGGACTGGAGTGATGTTACTTTGTCAGTATTGGTAACCATCTTCATACAGGATCTGGTATCCTTGTTGCAGCCTGTGTGTTTTTTTTTTAGGTAAGCGATGTGATGTCACTCACTGCTAATAGCAGCATCCTCAGGGCATACTCTCTTTTTGTGTGTGTGTGTGTGTGTGTGTGTGTGTGTGTGTGTTGGTTTATATTCCAGCAGGCTTCTGCGCTATGTCTCTGTCTCCCTCTTTAAGGGTCTGAACTTGCTGACTGAGGAAAAAGTGAGTCAGAGGGGGAGAGAGAGAGAGAGAGAGAGAGAGAGAGAGAGAGAGAGAGAGAGAGAGAGAGAGAGATCTCACATGTTCCTCCATGTGCTTCTCGTCCGCGCTTGTTTACATCAGAGTGCGCATGCGTCTTTCACGCAGCATACAGCGGTGTTGTGCATTTTGACCATTTGATGGGAAAAGTATTCTTAAAATGCATTCAAATTTCGGAATAATTTGTAATATATAATTATTCACGGTATTTAGAAGTGCCCACGATAACAATATCGTGCATATTCATTACCGTGATATATCGCATTACCGAATACCGGCACAAGTCTAGTTGGGTTATTGCTCTCTTATATTGTTTTAACAGGAAGGTGCTTTTACTGCAGGCATTAAGCAAGTGTTCATTTAGGATTAGCCTATATGAATACGG